CGGTGCCGTTCGGGCGACGGTCGTCCGACGGGGGGCCCGACTCGGCCTCCATGTCGACCAGCTTGGCCTGCACCTCGCCCAGCCGCGACGACAGCTCCTCTCTCCGAATCTCCCTCTGGCGCGTAGGCATGTCGACGGCCGAGCCCTTGGAAAGGGCGGCGCCGCTGCCGCCCTCGTTTTCCTCGGCCGAGGCGGCGTTGGCGGCGGCGATGGCCGCTGCGGCGCTCTCCTCGAGCCTCTGGAGCTCCTCGTTGAGGGAGCGCTCCTCGGCCATGAGCTTCTCACGCCAGACGTCGGCCTTGAGGACGCTCTCGATGGCGGTGGTGTCGTCGCCGACGATTTCCTGCTCGACGTAGAGGATCGAGATGTGGGCCGGGATGGGGATCTCTCGCAGGGCCATGTTGCGCAGCAGCGTACTCTTTCCGACACCGTTCCTGCCAATGAGGCCGGCGCGGCGGCCCTGCTTGATGGTGAGGGTGGCGTTGCTGAGGATGCGGTTGCTGCCAAAGTTGACGTCGATGTTGGGCAGGTGGATGTCCTTGTTCTTTCCCTTGTTGCCGACGCTCTCGAGGGTGTTGACCTTGAGGAACATTTCCTCGTAGCTCGCCTGGGCCTTGGACTGCTCGACCAGCTTGCTCGACTCGTACAGGTCGCGCTGGGCGCGTTTGGCGAGCTTGGCGCGCGTCTTTGCCTCCTGCTTCTCGAGCTTCTTTACGTCGACGGTGGAGCGCGACTTGTTGGAGCCGCCGAGGCTGATGTCGACGCCGCCGGCCGACTCGAAGCCCCGGGTGCGGCTCATTTCGGTCCTGCGCATGTCGACGACCTTGTCGAGGCGGGTGAGGCCGGAGGACTGGCCGCCGTCTGCGAGATCGTCGGGCAGCTTGTCCTGGATGAGCTTCTCGAGCTTGGGCAGGAGGTCGAGCAGCTGCTTGCTGCTCGAAGGGTCCGAGAGGGTGGCCGACTCGAGCATGGGCTTGATGACGGTCTCAAAGAGGCGTTGGGTGGGGTCCTCTGCGGCATCGTTGATGTAGCCGTCGAGGTAGTCGACGACGGGCTCGTCGAGGTTGGGCAGCGCGGCCCGGATCAGCGTGGCGGCCATGCTGGGCGGCGGGCGGGGACCTGTGGGGGGCAGACTCGAGCGAGGGGGGCGATCAGGGAGAGCGTGTCTGCTGTACCGGTCCAGTAGTGACGAACAGGGTCGCTCTTGTCGATGCGGGTGTCGTCGGGTGGCGGACCAGGGTGGTGAGCGAAGGGGGTGCTGGAAGGTCGAGGTGAGGCGGGTAGAGAGAGGGTCCGCCTTGGAAAAAGCTCAGGCAAAGAGCCAACCCCCCGATGCGCAGTCCCGCGCCGCTCACCTTTCCCATCGGCGGCAACGATACGAGCCAATCGGTGCCCGATCAATTCCCTCCCTGACCCGGCCGGCAAGGGCTGCGAGCGAGGCGATGTGGAGTTGCTGGCGGGCCTGTGCGGCTTTTCGGCTTTTTGCTTTGCTTTGGTGCTGCGAAGATGTGTGAGGTCGAGGCGATGAGGCCATCTCGCAGCCATCGCGCCCGCTAAGCCTGGCCGATCCCACTCGATCCAGACGGGTCCCCTCGCTCGTGTCGGATTGACCTAACTGCCGGCTCGCCGCGTCTTTCGTTCTCGACTTCCACCATCACCCACGCACACAACCCTCTTCCACACCACGCCTGCCCCCATCATCATGTTCATCCGACCTTCGCCCGCCCTCACCTCGTCGATCGCCCAGGCGGCTCGCTCCACGCTCCGCTCCCAGGCCGCCCCCATCCGCGGCTATGCCACCGAGGCCGGCAAGAACGGCGGCGGCTCGCAGTCCAACCTGCCCCTCGTCCTCGGTCTCGGCGGCCTCGGAGGTCTCGCCGCCTGGTACAGCCTCGGCGGATTCGACGACCCCAAGAAGGCCTCCAACAAGATCCAGGAGACTGGACAGAGCGCCATCAACAAGGCCACCGAGACGGTCCAGGGCGGCGCCCTCAACAAGGACGCCTTCACCGAGTTCACTCTCAAAGAGGTCAAGCCCTACAACCACGACTCGGCCACGTGAGTAGCCCGTGACCGGAGACAGATACGGCTGGGATCTCGCATGCTGACGATGGGACCTTCACCCCGCCCCTCGTGACTGCCATACACCCATCGCGCCGCGCCGCAGCTACATCTTTGAGCTGCCCGACGGCAAGAAGCCCGGCATGAGCGTCGCCTCGGCCGTCGTCTTCAAGGCGGTCGGCGAGGGCCTCAAGGACGACAAGGGCAAGGACGTCATCCGTCCCTACACGCCCGTCTCGTCGCCCGACACGGCCGGCCACATCGACTTCCTCATCAAGCGCTACGTGAGTATCGCGCTGGGAGGACCGGCGGGCGGGACCTTCGAGCACCCGGCAACTGTGGGAGCAGAGGCTGATGACGTCTTTCCTCCTTCTTGCTTTCCCCGTCCCCTGTTGCCGCCTCGTTCGCCCCTTCGCCCCATCCCCGCGCGATGACCGCAGGAGAACGGCAAGATGACCAACTACGTGCACAGCATGAAGCCCGGCGACAAGATCGCAATCAAGGGCCCCATTGCCAAGTTCCCGTACAAGGCCAACGAGTTTGAGCACATTGGCCTGGTCGCCGGCGGCAGCGGCATCACGCCCATGTGGCAGATTATCCAGCAGATTGCCTCGGACCCGTCGGACAAGACCAAGGCCACGCTCATCTACGCCAACAAGAGCGAAAAGGACATCCTGCTGCGCGAAGAGGTGCGTCGCCCGGCCGTCCTCTGGATTGATCGTCCCTGCTCGCCTGCTGGCCTGCTGACCCTTTTCTCCCCTCGCCCGTTCCTTTTTTCGCTGGTTTGCACCCGCCGCAGTTTGACAAGCTGGCCGCCAAGGACCCTCGCTTCAAGGTCGTCTACGGCGTCGACCAGAAGCCCAAGGACTTTGACGGCTTCGAGGGCTACGTCACCTCGGGCATCCTGGGCCACCACCTGCCGCTGCCCGGCCTGGCCAACAAGGCCAAGGTGTTTGTCTGCGGCCCGCCCGGGCAGGTCGAGGCTATCTGCGGCGGCAAGGGCCCCAAGGGTTCGCAGGGAGAGCTCAAGGGACTGCTGGCCGACCTTGGCTACCAGCCCGACCAGGTGTACAAGTTCTAGGGGCGTCCCGACGCTTACCCGCTTGCCGCCGCCATGCTGGCTCGACCACTCGCTCTTTGTTGTACAACACAGGCTGCCTGGCACGAACACCTACTAGACCTGGGCGAGATGCCCTGCTTTGAATTGTCAATGTCCCGACACAAAGTGGACAGTGGATGCGCCGGAGCGTAGTCGGGGTCGCCGAGGACGGAGGACGGGAGGCGGGGATGGGAAAGACGAAAAGACGCCGACGAGCTGGCGAGAGTTGTTGGAGGTTAAAGGCCGGCGGGCGCGCATGGCAGGATTAGTGCCGGAACGGAGGACCGCCTTGGATGACCTCGACGGCCGGACGCTCAAACACGGTGTCGATCGCCGAGACCATGCTTCCTGGCCCGCGGAGGTCTGTGTGTGTGCAAGATGAGACGGCAGCGGCGATGCTCCCTCGGAGGCTGAATTGGGCGTTGGCGGGCGGAAACGAAAGGCGGAGGACGGGGGCCGATGAGGGATCCGCAAGCAGTCAGGCAATCGATGATGGTGGGCAGAGGCGATCAAGTGAAGAAGGACCTGCAGCGGCGGAGGTTGAACGCGTGCACTACCTCGCGCGCGCAGCCTCTGCCAAGTCAGCCACAGCGTGGTGGGTGGCGCGCTCTCGATGCGATGTTCAACCACGAATCTACACGCGGCACCCACAAGCAAGCAGGCAGGGGCGGCAGGTGTCTCCCCAGCTTGGTTTGCCACTCGGTCGCTGGCGTGGGAAGCAAGAAGCAGGGATGGCGGGATCATCGTCGATGGTTCGATGGGACAGCCAGGCCAGCACGCACGCAGAGCACCGTCACCGCCGGAAAACGCGCGCAGCCACGCGCCTCTATCTGGTGGTGGCGGCCTAACTGGCTGGCTGCTCAGCAGATTGCAACCCTTCCTCGTCGTCGTTGAGCGAGGGAGGTGCTGCCGTCATGTGATATGACCCCCTTTGGCTAGCGAGTCGATGCCGACCAAGGACGATCAGGATATTAATGCTCTCTTGCTCCCCAGCCTAGGGGCACGGATCGAAGCTAGAGCCCGTTTGATTGCCGTCGTGACCGACCCCCTGCCTGGTCGAGCCTCGCTATGGCATGGACGGCGGGCGGTACGACGGAGGCAGCCGAAGAGCAACCGCTTGCTTGTGCTTCGAAGGATGCGAGAGAAGGGCAGAAGCAGGCAGGGGCGGACAGGGCAGGGCAGGCAGTCACAAGTCGAGGATGCAGGGTCGGAAGGTCGAGGAGCGCGTCCCAAAGAGGCAGGTCAGCCTTGCTGTGGCCGACGTTTGCCTTTGGCTTGCCCGGCCTGGGCGCCGCTGCCCCTTTTGGGACGGCGCAAGGTTGGGCAAGCCTGCCTTGGCTGCTTCCGCCCTGCCGCCTGTGTGCATGAAGCTAAAGGTAGGCGGGCTAGGCAGGCTGGGGCTCGGGTTCATGTGCAAGGTCGATCAATCCGCACAGGCCGGGGTCAGGCAGCCTCAAGCGAGGCGGATCAGCCAGAATAGATGGAGCTGTCCAAGAGCGAGCGGTGCGAACCGGTGGCTGACCTTGGAAAGTCGACACTCCGCCAAACAGCGCGCAGCGACAGGCAGGCAGCAAAGGCAGGGTGGTGGGCCTGTCGTTCAACAAACGCGCCGCGCTCCCTCTCTCTCTTCTCGCCATCTCTCGCCACGGCTTCGCTACTGCTAAGCGCCCCTATCCTCGACCTCGGCCGGCCTGTCTCTACGGTATCCTTGCTTGCTCGCCATCGCTCTTTGCCCCCCAACCTTGCCTGACCGCCCGCCCGCTCGGAGTGCCAAACAAGGCGTTGCATCCACATCTTGGCATCGCGTCCTTTGCTCTTCTGTTGTCCTCGAGCTGAGCCTCCTTGGAGCTCCGCCTGCCCTCGTCACTCGACAGAGTACCGTCGCGCGCACCGCCGCATGCATTGCCGTCCCGCAACATCGCACGACCGCTTGCTCTCTGGCTCAAGCTCAAGCGCATCATGGCCAACACCTAGCATGTCTAAAGGGCCCGCCGTCGAGATGCATGCGGCACCGCGCTTCGGGTCGCTCCGCCTGGCCAGAGCTTCACTCTTCCTCGTCGTCGACCTCGTCCCCTGCCCCTCCCTGCCCTCGCTTACTTCTGGCCGCGCTCGCTATGAGCCCCTGACTAGCTAAACCTTTCTCCGTGCTCCCGGCCAGCAGACGCATACACGGACAGACAGACTGGCAGACGTACGATTGCCGCCGCATCCTCTGCCCAGGCGAGACGGGCGATCCGCATCAATTCTACCGTGTCTCTGTCTCGTCCTGCCTTGTCCTACCTGCCTTGCCCTGCTCTGCCCTGTCCTATTGTACCTGCCTTGCCTTGCCTTGCCTTGCCTTGCCTTGCCCTGTCTTGCCCTGCCCTGCCCGTCTGGGCGTCGACGGTGCGGCGTCTCAGACACCGGCCGATCCGCTTCCACGGACGCGAGCCTTTCCTCCGCCCGCCCGAGCGGCCCTGGGCGAGGTACAAATACCGACCTCTCCCTAATCCTCCTCGTCCTCTCCCCAGCTTGAGCACCCTCGCCTTTGTCCTTCTACCACGCAGCGACAACTCCTCTGCCAGGGACCTTCGACGACCCTACGACCACGCGCCATCAGCCACGACAGACGCAGACGACCGAGCCGGTTCTCCGTCGCCCATTCCCTACTGCAGCAACGACAGACCATCCCTCCAGCATCTTCACGTTCACGGCCCTGTTACCAGCGACGACCTTCCCCCTTTCCAACCGCATCAGCGACCTCGCCACGATGCCAGTACTGGCGAGCAAAAACAAGCAGCAGCTGCAGCTCAAGCAGAAGCAGCAGCAGCTCGACGACAACCCGGCCGTGTCGGCGTTCCTGTCGCCCAAGTCGCGCATCTTTGCCGGCGGCCATGCGCGCGCCAAGACGGCCAAGCAGCTCACGCCCGACGAGGTGGCCAACAAGGTGGCCAGCATGCTCAAGCCCGGCCCGCCCTTTTTCAGCAAGGTCAGCAACGCCGACCTGCTCGACTTTATCAGCGACCAGTCCATCATGAACTGCGACGCGCTCCGCCAGCAGGCCCAGGTCAACCGCGAGGCGCGCCTGCGCATGCAGAGCCAGGCCACGTTTGCCGTCGCCAGCGCCGACGGCGGGGCGGACGACGCGTGGGACGACGTGGCACCGGTCGTGGGACGCCGGCCCTCGGACGGCCCCGTCGCCCCGCCGGCGTCGACGTCGGCTCG